CAACAGTATAAAAGCTTTGCCTCTTTGCCCCAAGCAGGGATGATTCTGCAAGGCCAGCTCAGCTCCAGAGCTTCACCATGGGGCTGGCTGCAGCATCTGTTGTGGCTGTATCACAGCCCAGCATCCCTCTGCCTGATCCTGCTTCCCTCGCTCCCCCATAAACATACTCTACCCGAGTCACCATCTCAGAGTCACCTTGAAGGAAGCCTGACCTGCCAAACATCTTCCTTCCTCTCAATTCTGAGCCAGCAGAATCTCTAAAATCTCCATTTCTTTTTCTTTAATTGTTTAGAGCAACTGTCCTGGTGAGGACTCCAGAGGTGGGTCCCAATACTGAGGAAGACAGAAGACGGCTATTTGTGAATGCTGATCTACATATGATTTTAGAAATTGGGAACAGCCTTTTGAGACAGTCATACGAAGACAAGGTGATCTGGCAGAAGAAATAGCATGCAGAGAAAATGATGTTGTGTAATAAATTAAGGGGAAATTCTACTGCATATGCAAGAACTTCAGCCAGGAAAAAATTAAGCTCTGTCTGACTCCTTCCTGAAGCCCATGTTCTCAGGCCAGGCAGTATCTGCTGTACTATGATCAAGTGTACCTTCCAACCCTTGTCAGCAAAAGAGCAATGACTTCTTGTTGGTGTATTTTCTGCATGAATTCTCTACCCTATTCAGGGCATTTGTGTTTGTGGTTCAATCAGCTTACTGTGCCATGAATTTTTCTCCCTAATAGAGAAAGTAAATTATTCAGCTGCAAAATCTGAATAAGTCTTCATCAAGCTAGCTATACCCTAAATTGTAATCAAATCATCATAAGTGAGTCTCATTATCAATAGCATTTCTCAGAATCCAATGTTCATGGACAACCAAATTATCCCCACTGTGGGCAACACAACTAAATTCAGACAGTCATTGTGCACAGGAAGTTACCACAGGACGATCTTGTCTGACCTTCTGAGTATCCAGATTTTTAACTGTAGGTTGGCAAGTATGAAAAAAATAGAAGAAAAAAAAGCCATGTTAGCCTCTAACTATCAGGTCAGTTCTAATATGACTGTAAAAATGTTAGGTATGAGTTGTGACATCTAATTTGGTGAGAGCTCTGTGATGGAAGTCTAATTTTGCCCTCAAATTTGAGAGTCATGCATATTTTTCCAGGTAGCCTGAGGAACTTAAATTGAATGGGATTTTCAGAACATACCCAATAAGTGCTTGTCCATCTACAGCTCCTCTGGTTTTTTTACACAGAGACATGTGGTGTCCCCTGAAAATGCACACAGTGATACCATTAAGGGAGCAGGAGTAGAAAGGGAGTATAACGAATGCCTTCTGTAAATCACACTCACCAACCTTGTCTTCTCTCTAAAAGTGAATTTGTGATTCCTGGTTGGCCTAATACGATATGTATCTACAGAGTGACTGCCTGTTGAATAACACGTTTAATGGTTGGATTTGAATGACTGGGCTCTTCCAGAGACTACCGACCACAGAACAGGTTTGCATGTCAATGAAAGTGCAGGACAAGAGACCACAAGAAGGACTATTTGGGAGAAACACTTGGAATTAGCATCACTCAGGAGCCCAGCAGGAAAGAGAAGTACACTGTTAGGAGGATCCAAGGAGGGACTATTTAAGGAAGCAGGCAGGACACAGGAAACTGTAAGGGATAGTGCAGAACCCCCAGGCAAGGAACAGTGGAGCTGCTACCACTCCTAGAGCTGCAGGAGAGAGGGGAAGGAGCAGCTACTGGAACCCAAAATAAGTGGTGAGGAGAAGCATAATGTAAGAGAAGAAATGACTTTTAGTCCAGAGAAACAGCCAGCCTGATGTGCCCCCATAGGGAGGAAGGAGGGAATAATACCTCAATCTCCATCTCCTTCCTCTCTCTAAACTACTGCTCCCCGTCTCTCATTGGCCGAGACGAAATGAAGTCCCCTTTTGTGTTCCAAGCAGGTCAACCCCCCGGCCAGAGAACAGGCAGAGAAACCAATCCTGGAGGGGCAAAGGAGGATACACCCCACTCCAAAAAAGGAAGATACCCAGGATACAATGCATCAAGATTTCAGCATGAGCATCATTTTTTACCCTTTCATTTCAACCTCTGTTAAAAACTTTTAATTAAAGTATGGAAAAAATCAATTAAGAAAATCTTCTTGGAAGTATGTCTTAAGCTACATTTTAAGAAAGAAGAGGGCATGTCTAGGGGATAGTCAAGAAAACTATAGAAAGAGGATACTGATGGAAGAGATTATTGGTTTTGCTATCATCTTTGTCTGCTCTATCAAATACAGCACAAAGATATCACCTGCTATATCACATACAGCAAAAACTACGTGCTATCACATGCATGGGTTTTGCTGTATTTGAAGGCAAGTGCCCCAGTGACAGTGAGGCCAAAAAAGAAAGATGAAGCACATTTTAGGGAGTTGCTTTTCCTGAGCTCCAATAATGCTGTATCCAGAACCATGGCTATCTGAAGGCAATCTATTGATCTTCTAGAAGATAAAGGATGGGAAAATGCTGCTTCACCACCTGTAGGACCAAACATTTTCCTGAAATCCTGGCTCTAGAATCACATAGGTCTAGCTAGGACTGCATCCTGGCTCTGCCACCTAACAGAGGGTGATCTTGCATCAAATTCTGTAGTCTCGCCTAGCCTTCATGTCCTTATTTGACCACTGGAGACACACTATCTCCTCCTAGCATCATGGTGAGAATGAAAGAAAATAACACATCTGTATTAGTAAAAGTTATTTCATTGCAAATCTGATTCTGATTTGCATTTGATTCTGGCTAGGAAGGAAGAAGGGAAGAAGAAAAAGAAAGTGAGGAAGAGAAGTAGAGTATTTATCGAAATACTGGGGTACCTCAGTGTTCAAGAAGGAAGGGAAGAAAGCATGAGTTAAAATGCTCATATCACATACTGACATCCTTATAGTTCTTAATGGTTTCAAGCTTGGTAAATTTCTGAGAGCGCAGGAACTAGTACCATTCTGGGATCCCAGCACTAGCAGTGGTGCCCATTCTTTCTGGAACATGCAGATATGTGGCTCAGTTTCAGTGGTTACAGCCCCTGGCCTCTTCATTTCCAATGCAGATTCCAAGGAGAGGAATTTCATTGGCTCAGCTTGGATCAGGTCAATCAACTGGGCAAACCAATCATGGGATGAGGAGAGGCCCTAACAGTCATGTAGGGCACATGGCACTGTGAGTCCACCTTTGTGTGTCTAGAGGGAGGTCCTGGGAAGGAGGACTCTGAATGAGCCATGCAGCCCCTACTATCTATAGAAAAGCCATAGCATACGGGCCCTATCACATAGAAGTCCTCATGCAGTGTTAGCTATTATTATTTCAATGATTATGACAGAGGTAGCATTTAGAAATTTAAGTTTCTCTTCCCAGAAGATCTGTGGCACACCATTAGCTGTTACTGTTAATATCTGTACATTTAAAATTTTGGATTTATCCTATATCTCTTATTAGATTATAAATCCTTGGGGGGAAAAGACCACTGTATTTCCCACTTTCTCTCTACATCTTCATTATTTAATGCTTTAAAAAACAGTAGGTGCTCATCCCAGTGTTCATAGAAGCACTATTTATAATAGCCAAGACACGGAAGCAACCAAAATGTCCATCAACAGATGACTGGATAAAGAAGATATATATAATATATATAAAATACTACTCAGCCATAAAAAAGAATGAAATAATACCATCTGCAACAACATGGATGGACCTAGAGATTAATCATTCTAAGCGACTTAAGTCAGACAGAGAAAGACAAATACCATATGCTATGACTTATATGTGGAACCTAAAAAAAATGATATAAATGAACTTATTTATAAATCAGAAATAGACTCACTGACATAGAAAATAAACTATGGTTACTAGAGGGGAAGGGAGAGATAAATTAAGGGTCTGGGATTAGCAGATACAAACTACTATATACAGAATAGATAGACAACAAGGTCCTACTGTATGGCATAGGGAATTATATTCAAAAGCTTGCAACAACTTATAATGAAAAATAATATGTATGTATAACTGAATCATTATGCTAGGTACCAGAAACTAACACAATATTGTAAATCAACTATACTTCAAAAAATTTAAAAATGAAAAATAAAATTTTAAAAACCACTAGGTACTCAAATAAATGTTGCTTACTCCCTAAAGCTCACTAATATATACTAATATCAGAACTACTAGAAGCAAAATATGTCCCCATTTGTCTTTCCTTAAAACCTAAGATATAAAATCAAAGTCCACTCAATGAACTAGAAGTTCTTTTAGTTTATGATGATACTCAAAGAAAACTCCTCACTATTATTTCAATTTAAAGAAAAAAATTAACGTCATATTCAACCCTGCTCAACATTTTCAAAGTTATTGAAAGTGGCTTACAATAAATGTATGTCTGCTGCCAATTCTGATCCAATAGTAGGAGCTGCCTGGAACTACATTTAGAAGGGTTTATGAAAATGATGCTGTGACAGAGAAAATGTAATAATCAATAATTAATATCTGACATGGACACAGGATTGGGCAGCAGTGGCATGTATGTTAAGTATCTGGAATTCCTGGGCCATAGTCAGAAACTGAAATAAAAATGAAAACTCAGAATTTACATAGAGAGAACTAAGACCAATTTGAAGTAGGAATGAGACACACTGTTGTAAGTTTGTTCTCAATTTTTAGATGGCTTGAGGATTGATTTAAGGTAGATTTTGTTAAGGCAAGATTTATTTACATAAATATTATCTTACTATTAGACATTATCATCATCACTGTGATTTTTAAATGATAATAGAACAAGAGATGATTATCAAGATTACAGTTAAGTGATTTGTTACTTAACACCTTAAAGTTGTGATTTCCAAATCTCTCATTCAATGGTGATTGTGTATAGTTATATCGTCTATAATTTAGGCTTGGGTTCAACTACACAAACAGAAGATTCAAGAAAATTTGAATGAGATAGAGACTTACTGTATTTTCTCTCCCATAGAAGTCCAAAGACAGCAATCCAAGCCTGATATGGAGGCTCCACAGTCATCAGTAACCTGGTTGTCTCCTATCATTGTGTTCTACCCTCCATAGCAAATGACTTCCATCTTCAAATCCGCTTCACTGTCCAAGATAGCTGCTGGATCTCCAACCATCATATCTGTATTCTAACCAGGAAGAAAAAGGGAGGAGAAGATTGCAAATGGAAGTGTTTTCCCACTGAGTCAGCCCCATTTTAAATAGATTTCCCAGAAGTTCCACTCAGCGACTTTCAGTTACATCCCACTGACCATCTCAAGCAGCAAGGGAATGTGGGAACTTTGGTCTTTTCAGCAGAACATACTGCCATCTAGGAGGTGGGGGAATGGATATTTGGTAGGCAGCTAATGGTCTCTGACACAACTTGCCTATTAGAAACATGGTACTTAGTGATTCCACTAGACCATACACTCCATGAGAGCAGGGACCTGGTCTATTTTGTTCATTATAGAAACCCTGACCCCCAGCACCCAAAACTCTTTATGAAATGGTTAATAACTGGTCCATGGTTACTCATTGAATAAGATGCTGAGTCAGATTTAGACATCTGATCTGCCCCCAAAGCCTAAATTCCTCCCAAATTCTTCCATGCTTTGAGGCTGATACAAAGAGGTAAGTAGTATATCTCTGAGGAAGCTAGAGAGGTAGATTGGAGCCTAAGTAGTGACAGTCCAGAATGCCTTTTCACTAGAACTTTTAAACGCAGATCCTCCAAGGAACCAAGTAAAGAGATCAAGAAAAGGAAGAGAGTCAACAGAATAGCGCACAAATTCAGGTTAATGCTGCTTGGCCTGAAACAAGACTTTGTCAGCAGGGACAGAGGACCAGGATGAATTTCAGAGACAGCTTTCAGGATCCACAGGACAGTGGTAGGGAATGGAGGTAGCAAGGATCATAGGCTTCCACTTTATCAGGCAATGTGGATTAAGATTACATCCATAGTAATGAATAGGGGACACAGCAGATTTTTTAAGAGATACGAAGAGTTTTTTTCACAGAAAAACTACAAAAGGATACCCAAGGAGCCAGTGAAATAAGCTAATTCAGCCAATAGACTGGAAGAATGAGCCTGTTTTTAACCTCTTCTGTTTATCACATGCATAATCCTCACCTGTTTTGTAAAGATGTTCATTTGTTGTTGTTGTTGTTGTTTTCCATTACAGGCTGAGCTACTCGGAAAGAAGAATTCATGAGAACAAACCACAGAGGACAAGCTCGCTGTTCTCTGAGTTCCCACTGAAGGGTTAGCCAGCCAGCATTAGCAGCAGCTCTGTAACTTAACAGGCTGAGGAATTGCCCTAGAACATGTCCTCTTTGAAAATGAAAGCCAATATAACACTTCTAAATGTGGCTTTTTAAAATTTGAGAGTTTAAAAGTTTCTACTCCTCCCCTCCGGTCATAATTGCCAGGTTTTTTTCATTGAGCGCCACAAAGCAGCCGAGAAGGACTGCACCGTCAGCCCTTCATATCTATGGATTCCACACCTATGGATATGGAGGGCTGACCCTCCCACACCATTTTATATAAAGGACTTGAGCATTGGGGAATATTGGTATCTGTAGGGCATCCTGAAACCAATACCCCGCAGATATCAAGAGACAACCATACTTAGGATAGAACATGCTGGCTGTCCACTTAATCCAGAAGTTATGCAGAGTTAAAGATGGGCAGAGCATTTGGAAATATTAGAGGCCTGAATTGTTCTACTTAAGTCTGATGTCCTTATGGCCAAAGCACTGGCTCTCAGCTCTCTGGTATTATCTGAACAACTAGACATTCACCAGATTTTATTTTGCTAACAATGATTTGGCTAATCTTTTTTACCAATTATTGCTTTATAAACATTTTGCAAGGTTCTTGAAATAGGGACAAATCTGATTTATGTAGTGGAACATAACGTCAGCAGTAGATTTAATTATGGGACAGAAATGCATACGGAAATGTTTAAAAGAAATTTCCATTGTCAATTAGTTTTTGAAAACAAAGAAAATTCAAAATTTTAAATATAAAGAGATACACAGTAAACTATGAAAGGATAATTTAGGACCAGCAGTATGTAATTTATTTCCTTTGTTTATTACTACTCCCTCTCCCATCCCCCAAAAATATATTTTACTATTAAAATGACAGAAAATATTTTATTGTCTATTTATTTCCCAGATTGAATTACAACCTGATGTATTAGTTTCATTAAAAAGTTACAAAGAATTGAGAAAAAAATCCAATAACATTGGAAATAATAAATATACCAACCCAAATAAAATAATAAAGACAAGTTTAAGAAGGCAGCAAAATACCCGGAATACTGTAATCTACTTGCCTCTTGATGTCCCTAATTTGAGTGATTCACACCCTATTTCTGAATGTTTGTCTCTTCAATGAATTCATTACCAACTAGCTTTTGTTTTCTTTTAGTTTCCTTAGAATTTATGGGTCAAATGTTCAAACATAGCGTTTCCTGGCTTCTGTCTTTGCAACTTAAAAAAGCCATTACTTAGCTTTGTTTTCTCTGAAGAGTCCTTGAAGTCTTGATGATATAATTGTCGGCACTTCATTAATTTCTTAATGAGCAAAGTATTATTCTAAATATATTGAGGTTTCTAGGCACTTTTTTGTTTAAACATTTCCAATTAAGCCTTGCATGCTCTGCCCATTCCCAATCCAACTTTCAGGTTATGAGAATTCAAGCAGAAATGGCCTTGGATGCCATTATTAATATTTGTCAGGTCCTGCAACCCATGCATTTTTAGAGCTTGAAAGAAACTGATAGGTTTGAAGATCTATTAGATATTCTGAAATCCCTGGTTTGATTCTCTTTGATGTTTCTCTGGGTGTCATTGAATACTTAATCCTATTCATTGCCTGTACCACATCATCTCATAAACTTTCCAAATGAATAATCTCTGATCTACACAATGTGACATTTTACTTCACCTTTTGAAAGGTAGATTTATGAGAGAGAAACATACACTGTTTTAGAAAATTTGGTCCAAATTTCTCAGCATATTTCTAAACACTTTAAGGTTATAGTCCAAATGTGACCAAATACCTATTTTTTTCCCATGAAACCGTAGAACCATCCAAAACTCTATTGCTATACTAACAAACTACCTCCAGCATTCATCCAGGAAACCAAATCTAAATCATCATAATTCCTACCCTGATAGAAAATGACATTTAAGTCAATATCACTGTAAAGAACTTATGCTCTCTTAGTGCTTATGGAGTTATTTTCAAAATATAGTAGTAAGCCATAACTTACTATGAGCTCCCACTGAAGGCACAGACAGAATTTTCAGTAAATGTATCACTTAGACTGAAAGCCAACTTTGTCACAATAGTGCTATTCTAATTCAAACCACAAATCCTTCTCTAAAATAAAATCCTCTCTCTTATATCTGCAGGAAAAGAAAGTGCATTCTGTGCAGGTTTAAAACCCATTGATTTCTGAGCATCTGCCAGCTCTATTCTCTTTCAAACACCTACCAAAACCCCAGCCTTTCCACAAAAGCTCCCAGATCTTGGCAGCAGAGAGGCCCAAGGCCATGGGTGGCCAGCACCTCCAGGGAGGCCAGCACCACACAGCGCATAATAACCCTTTTAAAGAAAAAAATATCATTTTGTATGCTTAATTATTTCTCTTCACTTATTTTTGTTCCGTGAGAATTTACCTTGACTCTGTAGCACATAACATATAAAGATGCTGTGTTTATTTTACTTGCTTTACATCAGGTTCTGTGCTCCTTGCCAGTGATAGCAGGTCTAACTTTTAAAGGACCCAAAGTGTTCCCTTATGAGGTTCCTCACATAGAACGGTATTTAAAATATTGAATTTTTCCATCAATAGGTGACTGGATAAAGAAGATGTGGTATATTTATACTATGGAATACTACTCAGCCATAAAAACCGACAACATAACGCCATTTGCAGCAACATGGATGCTCCTAGAGAATGTCATCC